CTGCCTCGAGGGTGCTTGACCATTTTAACACAACGTGGTGCGATCATCCCCCTTGCGCGGAGCGAGGGTTCTCCACCCCGCACAACATGATCTACTCGACCACCATTATGGTTACCGCCAAAAAAAAAAACGGAGGTAAAAAAAAAAAACGGTAACCTGGTTGCCGAGTTCACGAAGTGAATTGGCTTGTTTTACAACGTCGTTGCCAAGCGACGAAAACCCAACCCCGATGGCAAACACCGAGGGAGGGGGGGGACTCGAGTGGGGGGGAACCAACGAACTGGGCGAGTACAAAGGGTGCGTTAACGTTGAGCCTTTTTTTGCGTAGGCGTGAGTACAGCAGCTCGAGCGAGTACAGGTGGTCGATGGGGTTTCTGCTGCAGTGTGTGGGGATCGTGAAGTTGAACATTTGCTTCCCGAGAGCTTGTTTCGAGCCCTGCGATTCCGGATCGTAACTGTGGTTTATGCCCCATTTTGTCGAGTTCCGCGAGGATCTCTTTTGCGGTCTCGTATTTGTTCACGATCGCCTTGTCGGGTTCTCTGACAATGGCAGCGGTCACAAAATGGAACGCTTGGAGGCCCCTGTGGACCTCGTCGATGGTGCATTGGAGGCGGTATAGCTCCGAGCTTGGCACGTTTGGGTTGCCGACAGGTGCATGCCTCTCGTTGTTGCCGATCAATTGGCCGTCCAGTCCTACAGCCTTGGCCGCTTGGATAGGCGATTTTCTCCCCGAGTCGTACTCATGGCCGCCACTCTCCCCTCGGAGATGCGGGGCATTGACTGTTACTCTCTTGATGTGGCTCCTGCTGTAGCCGTCGAGGAATTCTCCCTTTCCTCGAATCACGGGTATCTCACCTGGTGGGTTCAACCCCCTCGCTTCCCCATAGTCCGGTCCTATGCCCGGGCCCACTCCGGCTGGTCTCGCAGGATTCGCTCGCGATCTGCTGGGCCAGCCGCCTTCCAGCAGCTGCCGTAGTCCTTGCCCACCATCTCTCGCTTGCTGCTGGAGAAATGTCCCGCCACCGCCGAGCGGCAGCGTTGGCTCTTGTTGGCCTTCGGTGGCGGCAACCCAGCCGCCACTACTGGTTGCATCCGCCACGACGCTGCCAGGCTCCTTCTTCTTTATCGACTCCTCCACCAGGGCCGCCAATCGCGAAACCTGCAGTTACCAACTTGCAAGCTCTGCATCGCTGCCCTCCTGCACCGGCGGGCGGATCTGTTCTCCGCTCGCAGCAGTGCGCTCTTCGTCTCCAGCAGAGCTCATCCCGATGTGGCTTCCCTCGAGGGACGAAAATCTCTCTAGAGTGTTTGCGGCCTACGCCACTTATTTATCGAGTGAGACTGTTTCGGTGATGTATTAACTTCACGAGAGGTCGACGACCGTCCTTCACACGGACGAAAGAGGGAGTGCTCAAAGGGCGGCTCCCACAGCAAGGAGGGGCTCCGTGAATCATCGCGGTGACCCCTACCAAACGGCAATCTTACCAGTCTGCGTGACACCAAATCATCCAGCACATGTATCCAACACCAATGTTCCCAGACCCACGAACATCCTCCTATCTTTCGTGGTGTCATCCTGGTCTGCGCCACTGCTTCGTGGGTGTCGACCTGCCCCTCGCTTCGACACTACGACCCACCGCAGGGTAGGGTTACACATCGCGCGCGTCGTGTTCGAGGCGAGCCGACCATGTAGCGATAATCTACAGCAGGACTATTCGCAACTGGGATATTCCTCTGGGGAGCAACGAACCGCCACAAATTTGTGAGTTTCGGTGTGAAAATCATTACGTGAGACTCCTCGAAACATGCCCATGGTTCCACAACAGGTTTACCAAAATATTTTCAGGCTAAAGAATCAACGTATGCACTGGTATATTTTTCGTCGCTGACTCGCGTCCGATCTGTACCCGGTCACTCGTCTATCGCGAAAAGGCAGGATCCTCGACGGCGGACGCGTCTGCATCTATCTACTGCGTCGGCCACCTGAAATAGGGCGTTCGTACCGGGGGAACAAAGTCGCGTCCACGCCAAGCTGAGCGGCCTCTTTGTCGAACCCACGCACGTCAAGCCGGAGCTATTGGCTGGAAATATTGGGCGCGAAAGCACGCGAAAACGCAGTGGAGCGGAGGGAAGTCGAAGACAGAAATATATATGGTCGATCCACGGCGACCAAACCCGACACACTGTGCTATCACGTCAGAAGGTTACTGCAGCTGCTCCAACGAGATCCTTCCGTCGCAGCGCGTTTGCGAGTGGGTCGAAAGGGAGCGAACAACTCACAGGCGTATGATTTCGATGCAAGGTCACTGAGATATGTAGACAGCGACTGCGAAGGTTAAGGTCCATAAGAGAAATGGATGAAGAACGCATGAACGTCCACGGCGCGGCGGCATCATCGACACCTTCGTCCTAACTTCCATCGTTATCAAGCGATTCCTTCGGGCTTGCAGCGAACGTTCACGCTACATTATGTACTATACTTTTCAATTACATCTCGATGGTGCATTCACATTCAATGTAGACGGTATCACGAAGAAACACGTTATCGACCTTCACTACTGCACAGATAATCACATTTTGTGCATACCTCAAGATCTAGCCATACACGCCCGCCAAAAGGCGACATGACAGCCGATCCCGACCAAGAGCACAGGCGGGCAAGGGAAGTACATTATTATCATATATATATTTTGCCTTCCGACAATTGCAGATGTACCTCAGAAAACTTTCATTTTAATGTGTCATACTCTACATGAATGTTAAACCAATACGAAGTACAACAACATATCTAGGACATATTCCTACTGTCACTTACATCATAAAAATATCTCCTCTTCAACTTGAAATGAAACCAATGACAATCCTCATGGTATCCTATATGCGTTCGTAAGCTTGCTAAAATACTAATGCGTTGATGTCCTCTTGTAAAAGCTGAAATCCAACAAATGCTTTGATCCATGCTACATCTCCGTGTTGGAAAAGCCCTTTCTTCTCCGTTCATGATAACATCTTACCCTATTCTACGCAAATCTGTCACATCTGATCTCAAACAAGTACATTATATAGTGAAATCCAACAGACCCCACGTACCTCGAGCAGACGAACAGCCCCAACCTATTCGTCGTGCCTCTCCGGCGTCGCTGTAGAAACGTTGGCATCCACCTCGAATAGAACTCTTTCAGCCCACGNGGGGGGGGGGGGGGGGGGGGGGGGGGGGGGGGGGGGGGGGGGGGGGGGGGGGGGGGGGGGGGGGGCTGCGGAGCCGACTTGATGGTCTTCGGGCGGAAAGTGGTAGTGATGCCATTGACAACCTGGCGGAAGCGCACGGCTAGAGGGTCACACGTGGGTAAGGCAGTGTGAGTTGAGAAGGCGTTAGATGTGGAATATTTCGGATCAACTACTGTAGTACTACTGGTACGAAGATTCAGCAGTACCACACATCTTGTCCAAGGCATTGATTATGAAAAAACGAGCACACCCGAGAACTTTTGTATATCATTGCTTCTGCCTCCAAGCTGAATTTCGTCCATGCCGTCGATGCGCGCTCTTGCCATCTTTCGGAAGAGGGGTCGTCATGCATACAGCATGCAAGTTACGCAATATTTCACACCCTCAGGATCCACTTCGAAGGCTCGATTACTCCACAACATCAAGGGTCGTGGTACACAAAATGGCGGCGTTGGGACTGCATCTTCAAGATCTTTCCAAAAACAAATCGTTTGACTCGTACATTCTTGGTCGTGGAGTAATCGAGCCAAGCCATCAACCCGGGTGTGTGATATCATACGTCACCTACGGTAGAGGGCCTTCAAGTTCCCCAACTATGCGTATGTACTCGGTTTCGATGTCTGCCTCCCCTTCTGTCTCTGAAAGACGAGCACCTTCAATGCCTCCGTTGTTGGCGGCCACCTCAAGGAGATGGGTCGCGTGGTCGCATCGAAAGAATCCCGCGCACGCCTGACTTTACCTCTGTTGCACATGCGCAGCAAAGCGTCAACATACATCTGTGCTCACTCGGCGTGATGAGGCACACATCCATTTGTTCAATCCTGTGGGGTCACACGCTTCATCCAAGCGTTGAATCAGCCAGCAATACTGATACTTTTCTGTTGCGTGCACCGCTGAGCCTCAGAAACCAGATACCATCAGTCGTTCCTGTTGAGTGCATGTTGTGATCCTCTAAGAGATCAATCATCTGTTCGTGGGTGTGCGAACATTGGTGTTGGATACATGTGCTGGATGATTTGGTGTCACGCAGACTGGTAAGATTACCGTTTGGTAGGGGGCGCCGCGATGATTCACGGGGCCCCTCCTTGCTGTGGGAGCCGCTCTTTGAGCACTCCCTCTTTCGTCCGTGTGAAGGACGGTCGTCGACCTCTTGTGAAGTTAATACATCACCAAAACAGTCTCACCCGATAAAGAAGTGGCGTTGGCCGCAAACACTCTAGAGTTTGCCCCTCATGAAAGCCACATCGGGATGAGCTCCGCTGGAGACGACGAGTGCGCTGCTGCGAGCGGAGAACAGATCCGCCCGCCGGTGCAGGAGGGCCGCGACGCGAAGCTTGGAAGTTTGCAACGGCAGATTTCGCAATTGGCGGCCGTGGTGGAGGAGTCGGTGAAGAAGAAGGAGCCTGGCAGCGTCGTGGCGGATGCAGCCAGTAGGGG